ACTCAGCAAGGGCGGAGTCAATTATCTCTAACCTAATTGGATTGCCAAATAAAAACATCCTTGTGCAATTGCATTGTGTTGATGTTTAACGTAACATTGGGTTTCGAACTTTAACAATAATTGGTTTGGATAGCGACTAAACAGCCACAAAACGCATTTTCAGGAAAAAGATTTACTGCGGTTGATCATTAGTGAGGGATTGCTAGGAAATTGGACTGAGCTAGAGGTTACTAACCGATGGTTATTTTCAGCCCTATTGTTTTAAACCCACAAGCCAAGGTGCTTTCAAGAGAGAAAAACACAAGCAAAAAACATGAACAAATGTAGGCATACTTCATCTAAAATCCTCTAAATAACGGGAACAAGATGGGAAGGCACATGGGATATACATTTTGTTTGAGGTCTTGTCTCAAGTCCCAATTACAATAAAGGAAACATGAAGTAAAAGAATTTGTGTTCACATTTCTTAGTCATTAATATGTGTTACGTGTTTATCTTCGGGAGTTTGTTCTCCAATTTATTGATTGTTAACATGGAAAACAATCGGGGCGACCTTGAATGCCCGTCCATAAAAATTGGCATTGGATGAGATTGACGGTTTTATGCATAACGCAAGAAAACGTCCTTCCCGAAGAACAACCTGTTTCCCTTACCCCTCAAAACTTCGCATATTCCCGTCTTAAATCTCACACCTACCAGCTAAGTGATGAGACCACGATGTTCAACTGATATATGTATTTGCGCCATTTGGACTTGACATTAGACATTTTTTTTTTGGTTAACCCCTTACGATTTTAAATTTTCCCAGAAAAGTCAAATTTTGCCCAATTTTGATGAAAATGCAAGGCTAACCCCTTACAATTTTATGTCACCCAGAAAAGTCAAATTTTGCCAAGTTTTGATGAAAATGCAAGGTTAACCCCTTACAATTTTAAATGTTCAAGAAAAGTCAAATTTTTCAAAATTTTGATGAAAATGCAAAATTACCCTTTACAATGTTAAATTGCCCAGAAAAATCTTATTTTGCCCAATTTTGATGAAAATGCAAGGTTAACCCCTTACAATTTTAAATTTTCTAGAAAAGTCAAATTTTGCCTAATTTCGATGAAAATGCAAGGTTATCGCCTTACAATGTTAAATTTTACAAGAAAGTCAAATTTTGCCCAATTTTGATGAAAATGCAAGGTTAACCCCTTACTATTTAAATTTTCAAAGAAAAGTCAAATTTTGCCCAATTTCGATGAAAATGCAAGGTTAACCCCTTACAATTTTAAATTTTCCAGAAAAGTCAAATTTTGCCCAATTTTGATGAAAATGCAAGGCTAACCCCTTACAATTTTGTAACCCAGAAAAGTCAAATTTTGCCCAATTTTGATGAAAATGCAAGGTTAACCCCCTTACTATTAAAGTTTTCCAAGAAAAGTCAAATTTTGCCCAATTTCGATGAAAATGCAAGGTTAACCCCTATTTGAATTTTCAAAGAAAAGTCAAATTTTGCCCAATTTTGATGAAAATGAAAGGCTAACCCCTTACAATTTTATAACCCAGAAAAGTCAAATTTTGCCCAATTTCGATGAAAATGCAAGGTTAACCCCTTACAATTTTAAATTTCCAAAAAAAATTTGAATTTTGCCCAATTTTGATGAAAATGCAAGGTTAACCCCTTACAATTTTAAATTTTCTAGAACAGTCAAATTTTGCCTAATTTCGATGAAAATGCAAGGTTATCGCCTTACAATGTTAAATTTTACAAGAAAGTCAAATTTTGCCCAATTTTGATGAAAATGCAAGGTTAACCCCTTACTATTTAAATTTTCAAAGAAAAGTCAAATTTTGCCCAATTTCGATGAAAATGCAAGGTTAACCCCTTACAATTTTAAATTTTCCAGAAAAGTCAAATTTTGCCCAATTTTGATGAAAATGCAAGGCTAACCCCTTACAATTTTGTAACCCAGAAAAGTCAAATTTTGCCCAATTTTGATGAAAATGCAAGGTTAACCCCCTTACTATTAAAGTTTTCCAAGAAAAGTCAAATTTTGCCCAATTTCGATGAAAATGCAAGGTTAACCCCTTACAATTTAAATTTTCAAAGAAAAGTCAAATTTTGCCCAATTTTGATGAAAATGAAAGGCTAACCCCTTACAATTTTATAACCCAGAAAAGTCAAATTTTGCCCAATTTCGATGAAAATGCAAGGTTAACCCCTTACAATTTTAAATTTCCAAAAAAAATTTGAATTTTGCCAATTTTGATGAAAATGCAAGGTTAACCCCTTACAATTTTAAATTTACTAGAACAGTCAAATTTTGCCTTATTTCAATGAAAATGAAAGGTTATCGCCTTACAATGTTAAATTTTACAAGAAAGTCAAATTTTGCCCAATTGTGATGAAAATGCAAGGTTAACCCCTTACTATTTAAATTTTCAAAGAAAAGTCCAATTTTGCCCAATTACGATGAAAATGCAAGGTTAACCCCTTACTATTTTTAATTTTCCAGAAAAGTCCAATTTTACCCAATTTCCAGGAAAATGCAAGGTTAACCCCTTACAATTTAAATTTTTCAAAGAAAAGTCAAATTTTGCCCAATTTTGATGAAAATGCAAGGCTAACCCCTTACAATTTCAAATTTTCCAGAAAAGTCAAATTTTGCCCAATTTCGAGGAAACTGCAAGGCTAACCCCTTACAATTTTGTAACCCAGAAAAGTCAAATTTTGCCCAATTTTGATGAAAATGCAAGGTTAACCCCTTACAATTTTAAATGTTCAAAAAAAGTCTAATTTTGATGAAAATGCAAGGTTAACCCCTTACAATTTTAAATTTTCCAGAAAAGTCAAATTTTGCCCAATTTCGATGAAAATGCAAGGTTAACCCCTTACAATTTAAATGTTCAAAGAAAAGTCAAATTTTGCCCAATTTTGATGAAAATGCAAGGCTAACCCCTTACAATTTTGTAACCCAGAAAAGTCAAATTTTGCCCAATTTTGATGAAAATGCAAGGTTAACCCCCTTACTATTAAAGATTTCCAAGAAAAGTCAAATTTTGCCCAATTTCGATGAAAATGCAAGGTTAACCCCTATTTGAATTTTCCAAGAAAAGTCAAATTTTGCCCAATTTCGAGGAAAATGCAAGGTTAACCCCTTACAATTAAAATTTTCAAAGAAAAGTCAAATTTTGCCCAATTTTGATGAAAATGAAAGGCTAACCCCTTACAATTTTATAACCCAGAAAAGTCAAATTTTGCCCAATTTCGATGAAAATGCAAGGTTAACCCCTTACAATTTTAAATTTCCAAAAAAAATTTGAATTTTGCCCAATTTTGATGAAAATGCAAGGTTAACCCCTTACAATTTTAAATTTTCTAGAAGTCAAATTTTGCCTAATTTCGATGAAAATGCAAGGTTATCGCCTTACAATGTTAAATTTTCCAAGAAAGTCAAATTTTGCCCAATTGTGATGAAAATGCAAGGTTAACCCCTTACTATTTAAATTTTCAAAGAAAAGTCCAATTTTGCCCAATTACGATGAAAATGCAAGGTTAACCCCTTACTATTTTTAATTTTCCAGAAAAGTCCAATTTTGCCCAATTTCCAGGAAAATGCAAGGTTAACCCCTTACAATTTAAATTTTTCAAAGAAAAGTCAAATTTTGCCCAATTTTGATGAAAATGCAAGGTTAACCCCTTACAATTTTAAATTTTCTAGAACAGTCAAATTTTGCCTAATTTCGATGAAAATGCAAGGTTATCGCCTTACAATGTTAAATTTTCCAAGAAAGTCAAATTTTGCCCAATTGTGATGAAAATGCAAGGTTAACCCCTTACTATTTAAATTTTCAAAGAAAAGTCCAATTTTGCCCAATTACGATGAAAATGCAAGGTTAACCCCTTACTATTTTTAATTTTCCAGAAAAGTCCAATTTTGCCCAATTTCGAGGAAAATGCAAGGTTAACCCCCTACAATTTAAATTTTTCAAAGAAAAATCAAATTTTGCCCAATTTTGATGAAAATGCAAGGCTAACCCCTTACAATTTTAAATGTTCAAAAAAAGTCTAATTTTGATGAAAATGCAAGGTTAACCCCTTACAATTTTAAATGTTCAAAAAGTCAAATTTTGCCTAATTTTGATGAAAATGCAAGATTAACCCCTTCCAATTTTAACTTTTCCAGAAAGTCAAATTTTGCCAATTTCGAGGAAAATGCAAGGTTAACCCCTTACAATTTTAAATTTTCCAGAAAAGTCAAATTTTGCCCAATTTTGATGAAAATGCAAGGTTAAGCCCTTACAATTTAAAGATTTCCAAGAAAAGTCAAATTTTGCCCAATTTCGAGGAAAATGCAAGGTTAACCCCTTACATTTTAAATTTCAAAGAAAAGTCAAATTTTGCCCAATTTTGATGAAAATGCAAGGCTAACCCCTTACAATTTTATGTTACCCAGAAAAGTCAAATTTTGCCCAATTTTGATGAAAATGCAAGTTACAATGTTGAATTTCCCAGAAAAGTCAAATTTTGCCCAATTTCGATAAAAATGCAAGGTTAACCCCTTATAATTTGTTTCCTTTCCATTTATTACAATACAGTGAGTAAAAAAAAAAACCACACTACACACTTCCAAAACTGGCCACAGCCCCACTCTGCAGCAATACACATAAGACACCTCCATACGTACTCCCAGAGCAACTCCTCCTGCTTCCCCCGGTGACATCTTCACCGGACCACCGCCCATGCACGACTGCACAGGAGACAACTAAAGACACTTTAGTGCTTCCTCCAAAGGCCCGTGCGTCAGAATAATAAAACCCCCATAATGCGGCCGCCGATCTACGCAACCTACGCCCACGACTGGGATAAACAGTTTTAATTGCTACATCAACAAATCCAATAGCGGATCGGATGCATGCTGCACACCGTTCACAGTTAATACTTCAACTCGAAATCGAGGCTTACATACCAAACCATTGCAGGAAACTGAAGACCTCTTTCTAATTTCGGTAAACAACATTATTTACAAATTTAGTTATTATTCTGACAAATATCTGAAACTGTGTCTACAATGAAATTGGAATTCAAACTGTACAAAGTTTTCAAAATACCTGAAAAATGTTTATGTCTAACATTATCTATTACACTGATATTTCATTATTCACAAATTTAGTTATTATTCTAACAAATATCTGAAACTGTGTCTACAATAAAATTGGAATTCAAACTGTAAAAAGTTTTCAAAATACCTGAAAAATGTTTTTGTCTAACATTATCTATTACGCTGATATTTATGTATTTCTTTGATTGTGAGATGTGGAACAAAATCCAATATCATTAAATATAAAATGACAAATATTTCACATATCTAGGTGTAACTTTGCATTAGAAATATTGAGTACTTGATTATTATTATTTCATATTACAACGTTCAATAAACATGAAAAAGAGCTATCTAATTCCAAAAACCAATCCTATGAAATCTGAGACAACTATGGCATTTTCCAGTCAGTTTGGAAAATTGAAATAGAGTTTTCAAAATACAATTAGTCCGTGATTAAAACGAAAATCATGAATGAATCCCAACAAAGTAATTGTTGGTGTTTTGGTCACAATGTAGCCTCAAATATTTTGGCAAAAATTCAAATGCTTAATTTAATCTTTAATGCAAACAATTCACTGAAATTAAATCATATTTCATTCAATTGAAATGTACTCATGTTATATTCATAAGGTTGGAAAATAAAATAAATTGTGTGGAGCAAGATATGAATCATGCATCCTCTGGGAAAGCGGATCATTTGTAATTTCACATCTAGCCATCAAAATTCAAAAACTGAAGAAAGCAAATAACCCTATTTCAGAGAAGAAAAGATTGACTAGGCCGCTCAAAAGATCTTTTTCTTCTTCTTCTTGACCGGTTGTTGCTGCTTGGCTTTCTCCTCGGCTAGTCTTCTCTCAAGTGCCTGGCGTCGCATCAGCTCTGTGTCCTGTCCATTAAAGACACACAGAACAGGTAGTCTCATTTCCAGTGTTGAAGTCGAGACCCCACAAGACCATCACAAGGCCAACACAAGATCCCTAGTCTCAATTCAAGTCACAAGCTATTCAAATGAACTGCAACAAAGGCATTCCTTTGTCATTGTTGTTGCTCTGTTACTTGTGTCTCGTCTTAAGCCATCAGCCTCGGTCCAAAATTTTGGCCACCGGTATCAAATGAAGGGGAATAAACGTCATAGCGATTTTTGGCAAGGTATACACCTCCAGAGTTGGAAAATATGTGATACCATTGCATCGGTGGCAGCTTTTTGGGTGTAATCACCTTTTAAAAAAAATTGCCATCAAAATGCTTGTTACCACTCTAGGGGCGGTATACCTTGCTCATGCACACTATAATCATTTATGCCCTGATTTGATACTGACCAAACCCCCAGGCTGATGGCTTATCTTGTGTCTCGTCTTGTGATGGTCTCGACTACAACACTGCTCATTTTAGCCTGCAAAGCCCAAACACTGACTCAACTTTGTGAGATCATGGCCAGTCAGTCAAGGCAGCTTTTACTTGAACTCTGACACAAGTTCAAAGGTCCAGTTAGCTTAAAGCTGCGTGCCCCGTGCTCTTCAAAAATGTTGCGATGGCAATTGAGGTTGCTGGTGGTACCATACTACAACCTTTATGCAATTACAGGCGTCGCGGGGGGGAGGGGGGGGGATTTATAGTTTTATCAGTAAAATTATCCTCCTGTAGGCAAAATCTTGCATCCTGCAAAATCGTGTATCCTTGCAAATGTGTCGAAATGAAGTGCGCCACATATTGTCCAATAGTGCCCATGATTGTCCGCATTGAACTGTGCCCCCTATAGGCAGATGGTGTCCCGCCCCCTATAGGCAGATGGTGTCCCGCCCCCCCTATAGGCAGATGGTGTCCCGCCCCCTATAGGCAGATGGTGTCCCGCCCCCTATAGGCAGATGGTGTCCCGCCCCCTATAGGCAGATGGTGTCCCGCCCCCTATAGGCAGATGGTGTCCCGCCCCCTATAGGCAGATGGTGTCCCCCCCCCCCTATAGGCAGATGGTGTCCCGCCCCCTATAGGCAGATGGTGTCCCGCCCCCTATAGGCAGATGGTGTCCTGGGTCCTTATTCACAAAGCACCCGTAAATGCTTGCGGGCGCGCAACTTCCCCGCAACCCTCACTTAAGCACTTGCGGGTTATTCACGAAGCCTCCTTAAATCTGTGTGTGCCCGTAAACCACCCGTAAATTTGCGGGACCTCCAGACGTCCCGCAAGCACACCACAACTTGCGTGGATCATCTCGATTGTCACAATGGCGGCACTCTTGGCATGTATTTTGGATCTACGAACTGATTTGACGTGCCGGTTCATCTTCCGTGACCGGTTGAACCAACTATAGGATGAGTTAAAAAGAAAGTGACCGAATTTGAAAAATGTGTTCAAAATATTTGGCGCGTTCCATTTTCATGGGCGTCAATCGGTGGGGGACAAGTCCTCCCCCCACTTTTTTTTTTTTTAAGTGGCGGATATCATATCGTTGCCCCCCCCCACACACACTTTTTCTATCCCCGAATAAAAATTGTAGCCTACATAATGATTCTATAGAAGCTTATTCAATGACTCCAAACTCAAAAAATGATGTTATAAGATGATCTTTTGCTCACAAAAGTGGTTTGAGTGCTCAGAAATGGCCTCGGATCGCACCACAGATTAAGCATCTAGAAACCAAAAAATTTCGGGGCCCGCTCCATGCCGTAATAGGTATGTCCTCCACTTTTGGGAAGCGACTGCCGCCCTTTGTTTTTTTATGGGACGAAGTACATCTTATGGGATTTTAAGTGTGAACATTTCACCTAAATTGCACAGTCTAATCCGAAGTTATGTCTATTTCAATAAAACGATCACAAACTTGTTTACCACTCATCACGTGATGCAAACTGAACACCCATTGAGTACAATGAAACGTGGACTTTCCCACCTCCACTGAATGAACAAGAGCATGGGAAAGGATACAAAAATCACTATCAATATTTAAAACAAATAGAGCTAACTTGTTTCTTATATATTGAAAGCACACATTCTGACAGTGGTTTCTGTCTTGAGTTCAATTATTAAAGGGAACCTGCAAAAGGATTTGTATGACTTAAATATATTTAAAACAGCTTTCTTGCCATGTAACTATGACTTTCAATCTTCTTTTGTTACTACAAGGGAGAAATTTCAACATTTCAATCTTTATGCTATTTGAAACTTTCCATATTCATGAGCCAAAGCGTGATCTCATTCAAAGCAGAACAGAAGTGTCTCTACAGCTTTGAGTACAAATATATATCACACTTGTTTCTATTTTCTTGCAGTAAGTTCCACTTTTTACTTGTTTATCATGTTAAACAGCTTGTTTGGACACTAGCAGTCGCCACTAGTTTTTTTCCAAGCTTTTTTTGTGGGTAACTTTGAAGGAGTTATGTTTGTACTGTTCATATGCACTTTTGACAAGGAGTTCCTTGTGCGTCAAAAGCAAAATAGCGCCCATTACATGCGATTGTTTTGATGAAAGGATTTGCTACCAATTGAAAAACTACCACTCTCTTGTCACTTCCAACGAAAACAAGTATTACGATCCTGTATGTATTGTTGCGACACATAATAATGTGTAAGAGAACAAGATGGGCTGAATTTCCACTGCATGTTTCCTTTAAAGTCTTGTTGGCATTTTAAAGTTTGTCTGTAATATGATTCTCACTATTAACTCAATAGCTTCCAATGACATTTAAGGACAGCTATAAAAATGGGCTACGTTTGTAACACATGCATAACTTCTGAAAGCATTGGTAAATTTTAGTGATTCATTTATTTCTTTAAATGAGTGGAAGAACATGCTCTTAAAGACATGCTTGATTGGTGTTGATTGTTTGCTAAGAAAACAAAGACAAGTTAATCTTTAATCGAATCTGCCTGTCATTTTTACAACGAGCAAGTTCTCTAAAATGGGATAAAATGTCTTGGCATGTTTTTTTTAATGTTCAACCAATTAGTTGCGGGTGCCCGCAACATGCGGGTTCACTAAGGGAACTCTAAGGGTGCTTCGTGAATACCACTTAACGCAAGTCTTACGTGCCCTTAACATCCACTTACGGGTCCCCGCAACGCAAACATTTACGGGTGCTTTGTGAATAAGGACCCTGCCCCCCTTGCTTTTCAATTTTATGGAGGCCGGGTAACAGGGAAAAAAATCCTGTCTATCTTTTAGTACAGATGGTCTGTCGGAAAAATTGTTGTGACACCCCATTCAAAATGGTGTAGCAATACAACCAATTATACAGATTTCCCATGGAATTGTTTCCACTTTTGAGAATGAAACTAAATATGTATGAAAGTAAAGTCAAGTCTGTCATGAGCCAGTATAGCCCATCAGGCCGGCATTTATCTTTGGTTTCCTAGGCAAGAAACGACTGAGAAAATATGTCTTTTCCCCCTGGATGGCATGCCAGTCCATCGCAGGTGACTTCCTCCCTACCTAATGCTGGGATCAAGTTATACTCCTGTGTGGAGAGAGGCAAGTGTAAGTAAAGTGGCTTCAGCATTTTAGGCCACATTTGGTTTTTTTTGTCTAAGTAATTTAGGACCAGAAATCCCTGAAAGTTAAGCACATTATAAGATGTTATAAGATGGAATTTTGCGTCGGGGTGATATAAATCAAATTATAGGTATTGCCCTTCACCGACGTTTAAAAAACTTTAAAAAACTTTTTAGAAACTGTATACTCAGTGTGTTACCTCCCGAGTGAAAGTTGGAAAAAATCACTCGGGTGGGACTCGAATCCACGACCTCCTGCTTTCTAGTGCAGATGTCTTACCATTCAGATTTGAACCAGCCATCCGATCCCGTTAGCTCGGTGGTCGAGTGGTAAGACATCTGCACTAGAAAGCAGGAGGTCGTGGGTTCGAGTCCCACCCTAGAGATTTTTTCCAACTTTCACTTGGGAGGTAATACACTCTGACAGATGGTTTCTGCACAGTGATTGGGTTAGGGATTATGGTAGTGTTGACGAGGTTTACGTTATCCTACTTACTTCAGCTGAGCTCCCAGGTGAACTTGCCCCTTTCACCGGTGACCCCTTAGGTGTGATGGACTTTGTTGGTGATCCGTAGCTTGCGCCTGCAGTCTGCGCGTTGGCAACGAGTGATGGAGGCAACCGGTGAGCCCAGGACGGGCCCGAGGCACCAGCTGTCTGGCCAACGGTATCGCCGGATATGTCGTCTAGCAGCTCATCGTCAGAGCTGGCTGTGAATATAATTCAATTATAAGATTTGTTGTTAAAGTGCTTTCATTCTCTCTGGTAAGGAAACAAAAAGTTTCCTTAAAAAATGCTCTGGCTGAAGAAACCTTGAGAGAAAAGATGATGAGGAACTACTTCGTTTTTGAGGTGGGAGCTAAAACCCAAAAAGAGACCCCATAAACAATTTTAAACAGAAAAAACACACAAAAATACTGAGAATCAAGCAGGGAATGAAAACATGATCCATTATGTTGGTCCAAGTGGGATTCGAACATGGGTCACAGAGGTTTAAGGTGAGTAATGTACAGGTATGCTTATATTAGTTTACGATATGCCATTACAACTGCTTGCTCAGTGCTTTGCTAAAACCTTACGAGAAAGAAACTTTGCAAGCTTTAAAAGTCACAATCAAGACCAATGAACTCATGCAGATGCCTTACTACTAAACAAACTGTCAACGAGTCAGCTGGCTGTTTCGAATCTAAAATAGCTGTGACTCCAACACATAAATTCTGTCAAAAGTCACATTGATTCAGTTGCCTCAAGTTAGGGTATTGGGCAAAGACTGGATTTACATTGTGTGCACCCCAAAATTGCGGCTAGTCCATGGCAAGCATTGTCAAGCCATCACAATGAATAGCAGACGTCGCTTTCAACAACATTAATCAAATCAAGTCTTTAGCAACTTTGGCGGTCGGACCAGATAAATATACAAGCTAAAGCGTGTACGTGAGGTACACTGAGAATTTCATGGGTTGAGTTTTGCTTGAAATCGTATGCCAGCGTCTGGCTGCATGACGGGAATAATAAGCATTCCCAGCCTGGGACCAAGACTAGGGTATCCCACAGTCCTTTGCATTCTGATCATCACATTTTGCACTAGCTGATCAGCCAGTACCAGCATGTCTGTGTAGTGACCTCACTGGGTATGAGGCTAAGGACATACCTTGTTCGACGGGTCGATTGAGCCAGGCATTAGTCATCATGACCTGTCGATATAATTCCTGGCCTGGCTCGGAAAATGCAGAGGCTCCACTTGACTGGACTTGGCTTTCAAAGGCCTTGGGGAGGGGGAGAGCATTCATTGTATCATTAATAGAATTATCTACATTTGTGTGGACATTAATAAGCCATCTGCCATGTTTGTGAACGTTACAGTTGAAAATTGAATTGAAGAAATTCCCAAAACGTTGTTGTGATTGCAGTTTGTGGATGATAGCGCATGTTTTGATAGTGCCCTCGTTTGGTGGGTGAATCCAATATACAACGTCTTATCCCAGGACTATCAGATAGAAACCTGCCAAGTAACATGGGAAAGCTCAGCTTCATTGAATGGTGAGACATCTGTACTAGCAAGCGTGTGGTTACAGGTTCAACATTAAAATTCCATTTTCATCAGAGGTCATCGATTGAAATCTAGCTCACCTTAGAAAAGTTCATGTCACTGTTGAAAGCCTTGCCATCGAATGGTGTTGTTTCAAGGTGTTCTGGGGAAAAAAAGACAGAGCATGCACCAATTATCCCCCACTGATTTAATCCATTAGAAAGAGTCGGCACAATGAATTATTCATACATTGAGTGGACAATGCTCACAGGTACTTCGATGCTTATCCGAGGTGATTTTCGAGTTCTCAATTCTTTAAAGGAGTTGACAATAATTCTGGAGTCAGACACCAGTGAAGCTGGAGAGGAAGCTGAGGACTGGCCAACCCCCCTCTGTCAGCCTTCTCACGTCAAGCCACTCACTAGCGTTGTGGTTCTTTCCACCACAAGTCTGGTAACCAGTAAATTACAAGTCCTCTCACAAAGGCCAGACACAAGTATGAGGGAATGAACTATGACAAAGAAATGCTTTTGTCACACTTTTTTTGAACGTCTTGTGACTTGACTTAAGATAGGATTACAATGGACTTGGGATGAACTTGTGAGGCTTTGTGATGGACTTGTGATGGATTTGTGATGGACTTGTGATGGATTTGTTATGAACTCATGATTGACTTTTGAGGACTTGTGATGGACGTGTGAGGCTTTATGCTGGACTTGTGATAGACTTGTGTTGGACCTGCAATGGACTTGTGATGGACTTGCGATTGACGATGGACTTGTGAGGACTTGTGATGGATTGGATTACAACACTGCTACTTACTCCGTGAGACCTTCCCTCCAGCTGCCTTGTAGTCCTCGATCTCAGCGTCTTTCCTCTTAAGAATCTTGTGAAGCTCTGCCTCCCGTCGACACAGCTCTGAGACCATTGTCAGAAGGGGCGTGGCCAGATGACAGGCATACTATGACAAATATAGAGCCAATCAAAGGTCAAATCACAAGTGAATTCACAAGTGAATCCAGTCACGTGACTCTAAACTGGATGATTAGTGACTTGACTTGTGATGGCTTGTGCATTGTGAACCTATTACAACCTGCTATGACATCAACATCTGATAAATCTTAGTTTTGATGAAAATGTTATACAACCAGCGCCAGCCAATCCGAGTCAACTTTATAAATTGACGCAATTTTAGACAGAAAAGTGCGCAAAGCTTTTGATTTGTCAATAACTGTCGCCTATGTTATTGTTTTTGAAAGACTTGGAATGTTCTAGAGTTTTCTTAAGTTTTGAACTCACCCCACACACAGATTTTTATGCATAAAAAGGTAGAAAACAACGGCATTTGCACTGTTGTAAAGGGCTAGCATACTGCAATAGCTAAGATTTCAACTGGTTACAGGAAAAGTGTTATTTTATGCCATCTTTTCATCAATTACGTCATCTGTTTGCGTGATAGTAGACACCAGCTGATTGGTTAAAATCTTTGAGGTCAAGAAACAGTTGTCTTGCATTATTAATAACCGAATAATTAAGTACTGGATAGGTGCTTGCTGGGCAAGCGTATATTCCAGAGACTAGGGCTTACCCAGGTTATGCACCCGACAGAAAACCTCCGAACAACCTACCATGTCGTTAGTGGCCTCCTGGCAATGAAACTCCCACTTGAAGGGCACTCCGCCGGTCAGATGGGAGCCTAGCCTGAGCACCACACCGCTCTGGTCCCGGGACTTGGGGGGCTCAAGGCTGTAGGTCGACTTCTTCTTCTGGTTGGCCAGGTTATCCCTCAGATGCTGCAAGAGTGTGGCCAGAGGAGCTTCCACGTTGGGGTTCAATTTCTGGAAAGGATTATAGAAAATGAGGCTACTTGGGTTTAATTTTGGCTGCGATTTTACGCCAGACTCCATACCTGAACAAAAGAGGACATTACTGCTGGGTTTTTTTGGGGGGTTTCCTTTCATTTCCTTGAGTCCCTATAGCCTTATAAGGGACAAGCCTCTTGAGAAGGAATGTTTGAGGAAACAGGAACATTTGGTATGACGACTGAACGCTGACAGACACAGTGAAAATTGAACCTTTAAGATGAATGCCCAGAATAAACTTCTTTTTAAAAGTCTGACAAGTTTACTGAATCATAAGGCCAAAAATAGTTCTGCTTCCGATTACATGGCATTTAAAAATAGGGTAGATAGGTAGGGACATTCTTTTTGGGCAATTTTTGTGTGTGTACGGATTATGGAGGGGTCTGCGTGAAGTCAAGGGTAAAAGGTAGTAATTGATGATTTTTCGGGGTTTTCCCCTCATTTTCCCCCAAAAATAATTAGGAGAGCTTTCAAAATAGGGTAGGTAGGTTAACTGGAAGCAGAACTATTTTTTCTTGGTCTAAACTGGAATACTAGGATTTCCACCCGAGTAAATTAGGCAGTGTGGTCCCACTCCCAGTACATGATTATGAGGTTTTTTTTTTTAAGGAACAACCAAAGCTACCTCCCACCGCAGAGTGGGTTGTAGGCAACTCTGCAGTCACTGTCACCCCATTCAACATGGTGTAACTATTCCCATGCTGCTACTACCTGAAGGCGAAGGTCACTCACCTTGGCCTTGTGCTCAAAGGCTTTCCTGCTACACTCCTCATACCACAGCGTCTCCATGTCGTACACGAGGAGTTCGTAGCGGTCCTCGCGGAACAGGCACTTGACAAGCGCCCTCTGCTTGTTGAGCTGGAAAGGTTGCCAGACCTGGGCGGTGAGGTCTGGTTTCCAACGCCTTCTCCATTCGAGTTGTGTGGTGGTCATCGTGAACGCAGACTGGTTAGACTAAAACTGGACAAACATTAAAAAAGAAAAATTATCCAAAACATTCCTTTCAATAGAAAAATATAGAAGGTGGTTTTGGTTGAATAACTGTGGGTCAAGAAAGTTGCTTGCAAAGCACCATCTATGTCCGCATAAAAATGCAACCATTACTGCCCCAGCTTGTGAGTCTAGAGGGTCTCTGGTGTAATGATGTAACCGGACAATTTTGTGGCTATAGATTGAAGACGACAGGGACGCGAATATGAAATGAGTACCAGAAGCATTTTAGAAACACAATTGGTTAAACATTGGACTTACTATGACAAATGCCCTGCGATCGAGTCCACACTGTGACCATTTTCTTTTTTAACAGTTTCTTTTACTTTTATGTTTTAAAATAAAATCCTACTTTTTATAGAATTAGGCCTAGGCCTAGTAGGCCTAATAGATTTCATTTTTTTATCAGCGATCCGTGGCTTTGGAGAATTTTTTTTTAAGGGGAAAACCATGATCTTGACGTTGAATATTGTCAAGTCAGAGTCAGACGGTTGATGGCAGTTATGACTAACCAGTATAGCCAGTATTGAGTATAGGCCTAGGCCACTGCGAATTTTTCTATTCATGAGATGAGTTCCATTCTTCATGTCATGCTCTTTCCTTCAGCGGAATTAAATTTGATCATGTTCAGCTAGATGTTAATTGGACTTGGTAAAATCGACAGGCTGACAGGGAAAGAATGTAGTATCCTGACATTACTTCTTTGGAAGTGCACAAAGGCTAAGTCTATGGAGAGTTTAGCCCCACTAGTGTGGCCGTCGGTATGCTGCGCTGAACCTTTGAGCGCAGCATACCGACGGCCACACTAGTGGGGCTATGGAGAGTTGAGTGCATTTATTTTTTGTTGAGTGCATTTTCAAAGTTGGATGGAAATGTTGCTCAGTCGAGTCATCTGTCATCATCATGTCTTTTCAACATTTTCTTCAGAAACTTGCGTCAGAAAGATTTCACCAAGTCAGACTTACATAAATACGACGATAATGTCTGATGCTGATGATGATGGAAATTAAATTGTTTGAAGGAAGGTAAATCCTACCTCAATCAATCATGGGGGCCGCCATTAGTTTATAGCGCCCTCTCTTGACAGCAAGCGATACGACGGAACCGCGCGAGTTTATGAATAATTATGCAGTGCGCCTAAAACCATTACTTCCGGTGACACCGGAAGTCCAATAAGAATTGATTATAACGGAAGCATTATAATAAAAATTATGTAAATGTAAACATTATAACATGAAAGCACACCATAGAGGCACACTACAGGAAATGAGCGGGTTTGTGTTTTTAACCATTGTCAATATTGTACCGTGTCCGCAACTTCTTTGAACTTGAAACTTTCGGAGTGATGCCGTCATCAGACATATGAACATATTTTAGGGGAAATTTGAAAATTATTATCCTTTGTTTTTGTTTTTTGAAACGGTTAATCATTATTCCATTCGTACCAAATTGTCATGATCGTTGCACATAATTAAATGATTTCAGCTGAATTGCTGTGTTGACGGTAGGCATCCATTCCTGTGACGTCATCAAAGCGGAAGTTATAAACGTTCGTGTATTTTTTTGGTGTATGTGAGAAGTTCTTTTCATTTCATCTTGCATATGTATCCCCGTCTTCAGTTTGTACAGTTTTAGCAGATGACGTCTCGAACAGACAGTAACGTGTAAATAAAAATATTTAAGAAATCTACCAAACCAAAGAGGATCTTTTTTTAATTTACAAAACGTTAAACTGGCAAAGGCTGATCTTCATTTTTCATTTTTTCTCTTTCTATACATGAACATATTCACAACTTGAACTGGACAATGTCAAATGAAATAGTCGCATGCCCGATCATCGTGCGTTTGTAACCAAAACAAACGTAACATCTCTGTTTCATATATTTCTGAACATTTATAGTGGGAAAAAAACATGACAAATAAAGTACTTTTCAATTTGTTAAGTTAAAGTGCCATTTTCCAAGCAACATGAAAGCAAATTCGCACGGTTGCTGCTTGATAATAATTCGGCTCTTGCAGGGCGTACTCATTTGTGCGCAAAATGAAGTTCTAGAGGGATGCAGACGCCCCAATTCAGAAAAGGTAGTGTTTTTTTCTCCGTTAAAACAAAGCTAACATTCGGTGTAGACATCTTTAAGCTGTCTGTGAAACATTAACAATTAATCAATGTTTATTTTCTAACACTGTTTAATTTCTAATCGATCAAAAACAAGGCCGATTGATCCTTTAACTTCCTGTCATTGATTCCTGTAATTTTGCAGCTGGTGACGGTCGTAACCCACGTCACCTGTGTATAAAATGAGTTAAAAATACCGATTGCTCGATCATTTTGTGGGGTGATTTGGGCCAAGTCGGATATAGAGGGTATTATTATTATCATCATCGGACATGATGGTTTCCGTGAGTGATTACCTCATCTTCCTTCTAGGCTGCAGTAGTTTCCTAGCTGCAAGGGCAGGAGGTAGGATTAACAGTTGTTTTATTTGATGCTTAGTTTATTTTCTTTGACAATTTTGTCGTTTTTTGAATTTAATTTAAATGGCTCTCTCAATGTTGTTTTTCAATGCAATCCTTGAAAATACACCTTTGGGCTTTATTTAACCTTAGTTTTAATTTTGGATCGCCATTTCCAAGGGTATTTTGGGTTAATAATAGCATTAATCGATCAAGGGCGGACACCTGTCTGCCCTGCAAGAACTGTCTGGCTAAATAATGAGACAAATTGGTACACTTAATATTCCAGAACTAGATATGGCACGATTTGTTTTGTTCGATGTTTCATTAAAAAAAAACATTTTGTATTGCTAAAGAAGAAATAGCAATTAAAAGAAAATAGGGGGGATGAAATCGAAAAAAAAGTACTGACTGTTTGTCTTAAACATTTTTTAACTGAATGTTTTATCCTTGTATTTTACTTCCAAGCATCAACCAAAATATATTGCATAAATCATCTTCCTTTGTATAGGCCTACATTGTACAGGCCGAGTCAAAAGAAAGTGACCTGGACTAATGATTTGTTTTCTTAAAAAGCAATCAAATCTGATAGACCAATGAAGAATGTCATAAAGATCATGCTTTTCCATTCATCTATAAAGAAAATTACTGAAATTATTGACCAACGCAATCAGAAGTATATGCATGTTTTACTAAAAGAACCTATTTTTATAGATGGCCACGGAATGCCATTGGAAGCTATTGAGCGGAGTGAGAATTACAGATTACACACAGGCATTCAAATACAAATGAGATTTTAATCAATTGAGTCAAGACTGAAAACATAATTTTCACAATCAGATTTTATGTTTTGAATATCAGGAACAAGTAAACTATCTCATATTCTAACATATTGACGGCGAATTATGTTTGTAAATTCCTTTACAAGTTTTCGTTCATTCATGGAGGTACGACAACATCCATGTTCAATTGTATTTAATGGGTATTGAATGGTACATGATCTGTGGTGGACAGCTAATTTTTTTAATCTCTATATGTTGTTTGTCAGTGAAATGTTGTTTTGTGAAATGGCGTGAGCCTATTGTTTTTAAATATTCGGTTTTTCTGATTCGGTCATTTCTTTTTGACTCACCCTGTAGTGTGCTCAAACCACGGACAAGCACCAACAACTACCACTAAGAAGGCCGGTCAGTATCAATCGTTACACTGTGCCGTGTAAAAATAACACCGTGTTGGCATCTACTGAGTCACCGTGTAGAAATCCCAAGTGTAAATTTAACACCTTTTTGGCAGTAACCTACGAGCTATTATTTGTCATTATTTATCGATGTTATTTATTGCTACGTTCTGGGCCTATCTGATTTGTTTACAGTGGCGCTGAAATAACAAATTTGGATCACTGCAAAACTGCACAAATTCTTGCAACTGTTGTCACTGAAGTTGTAACGATGTAAACTGGCAATAAGAGGATTGAACAAATTTCAATGATACACCAGTGTTCACTTAACGATACAAATGCTGTGACATGGGTCCCTTAATACCAAGGGCGGATCCAGGGGGGAGGGGCCAAAGGGTGCCATGCCCCCCCCCCAAAAAAAACGAAACCAATTTTTTTTTTTTTTTTTATGTGACATCGCAATAAAGGCAGGCAATGAGTACACCACCATCTTTTCCCAAAAAAAACATTGGTTAAAGTGGTCAGAAATTGCCTCAGATCGCACCACAGAGCATCTAGAATCCCAAATTTTGTTTTGGCCCCCCAAAAAATTGTGTCCTGGATCCGCCCTTGATTAATACGTGCACAGGTTTCTCACATAATAATAATAATAATAATATCTAATTCTTGTATAGCGCCAAATCCGTCAAAATTGACGCTCAAGGCGCTTCACAGAAATAAAAATGAACAGGTTAAAATTCAAGAATAAACTAAAACTTATACAAGACAAAACCTTTAAAATAACTATAAAATAATATGGTTGATAAAAGACAGCCAAACTGTCAAGATAGGCAATAAGAATAAGACAAACAGGCAATTAAAAATTGACGCACAAGGCGCTTTACATAAATACGGATATACCAGTTAAATTTTAAAATACAAGAGGTGTACAAATTAAAATTGTCTAAAACAGGCAGATATAAACGGACAGACACAGAACATCAATCAAGTAAACAGAGAGATGACCATGACAGAGAGAATTAACAGCACGACAGCCATAACGTATATCAAATATAAAAAAAAACGTTAAAAAAAGTGACGCTCAAGGCGCTTCATTACAGAACTACAAACAGAACTTACATGAACATTGGTTCCCCTTATCCCCGTTTCCTACTGTAGGGAAAATGTCAAGCTTTAGCCAGTAACCTAGCTCCCCTATGAATTTTGTTTTTCGAACCATCTGGTCGTTACGTTTTCTAACCAAATATTTATTTACTAATTCAAGGTTCAACATTCAAGGTTCATATCAACAATGCAGGTGGGACAAATCTGTAATACCCGTGAGAAAATCGATTGCATTATTAGAAAATCCAACTTGAACTATATTTGCACGGATATTTGAAGAAGCAATGCTACAATAATGGAACAGTGATCGTGATCGGACATGCAACTATTTTATTGGACACTGTCTAGATCTGTTGTCAATTTTTTTACGTGAACATTTATTAATTTGCAAAAAAAAAATCATCCTTTGAGATTTTATAGATTTCATTTACATTCCATGTATGCATTTATTTCACATGTACTTCCGGTTTGATGACGTAACAGCATTATGATGTTTAACCATACGTCATTACAGTAGCTGATATTATTTTTGAAACGAACATCGTCATTAATTTGGAACAAATTGGATGCTGGATTTTAATTTCCAAAAAAAAGAGAGAATAAACTGGTCATTTTCGAATTCTCCTAACAATAACATCCGGTCTGATGACGTCGTTATTATTCTGAAACAAAGTAATTTGTGCTCATGTCACAAGATGCTTCTTAAATCAACTCACTTTAACGTGCAACAGAGGGCGCTATTTTGAGCGATGCCGTCATGCCGTACTTTGCGTTTGGTATACCCTCAATAAACATTTCCATTACTTCAAACAATATTTATATTCCTTTTTTTCACTGCACTGTTGAAAACGTCAGGCGGCCTTGCTCTCGGTGTTCCAGTTTAAAAGTTATAGTACAAAGTGTTTTTTCCAACCTTTAATATTGTCATGTGATATTGGCGTCATGACATCACACATTTGACATCTTCGTGGAACGGTTCGTGTTTATACCAGATTTCACATTCATTCCTCCTTTGGTGTCTTCTGTTTACATTTTGAATTCACCTAAACATTGACCTTTCGGTCATTCCGAAAGAAAAGGTTGGGCAATTTTTCCTTCGAAGATTAAAAATGTTTAATACGAAGGGATGACCTATCATATTTTATAACAATGAAAGTATGCACATGATGCCTTTTTGTTCGTACAGTTATAGTTGAAAGGAAGTTGTCACTATCTGAACTAAAATGACGTCACTTTAATAGGCACACCTTGGGATCAGGGTTAATCATCATACCAAGTTTCAAGTTGATATTATTTACAGTTCAGAAGAAGACTTGCGGGGAATTATTGTCCACCCAAAGTATCATAACGATGTATAGGAAAATAGTAATTACAAAGAAAATAAAACAAAATAACTGCTTTAAAGTTAATACGTGTATTAAGCTTAACACAGATGAAAGAAAAAATATCATTATATCGGATGCTATTAGGCTATTGCAATAAACATGCAGTATTTTGTAGTGCGAATATAGGCTTATGTTAATATACTATTTTGTCACGGTTTTGAATTTAAAGGTGTCGACTGCGTGGAGTGTGATATTACTTGCGCGTTACCTCTACAACGGGATGAGAATGGCTGCGAGATTTGCAGCTGTATATTACGTGAGTATGTTTACAGTATTGTAACATCGTCATTTGAATTCGGATTTGCCATACTCAGATATCCTCGAGCTTTAACGAAACACGCATATGCGTAAAAATGTGCGAACGGGAGTATTATTATAGTCTTCTGGTATCGAAAAGGATAAAATATTACAAAGTTCATAAATTATGAGCAGTTTGCATAGGACTGTCGTGAGATGTCATTGAGTCACCATAAGGCAATCACATCATAAGGCAAACATGTTTTATAGCTGCTTATATAGCCTCATTTCTTTTCATGTTGAGAGCATAAATTATAGTCGTTCGAATTGCAATCATCAAACAAACCGTCTGCTATTTAAGATAATATGGATCAGAATAGTTGTAATTAAGTCAACACAAGTCAATCATAAGTCATTCAGTCTCTAATCAAGTAGGCCTTAAACAAGCTATTAAAACGAAGTATGACAAATCAAAGCCATCTCCGTGTCACTGTCCAGCCCCTGCTACAGTTACTTAGCGATCTGACATCGTGTTCGACTTGTGATTGACTTGTGATGACTTTAATAATGACATCTCACAACAATATCGTCACATTATCTTCCTCGTTCTCACCCTGTGTAGCTCAGTGCGAGGGCCTGTTCCCCACGTGGTGCACAAACCCTTGCTCCCAACAGAGCTGCTCCGAGTACCGGACCAATGGCGAGCTGGACGATAGCCAGTGTGTGCCCCGTGAAGGGGACGTGACGTGCCAGACGGGCTGCGGCTGTCCCGATGGGCGGGCGATTGACGACTTGCCCGACTTCCCCTTTGCAGAGTGCGTGGCCAAAGAGGAGTGTGGATGCTCGGATTCGAATGCACCCGACGGCTATTTGAAGGTAGGCGTTGAAGCAACTGAATAATTGTATTTGAGAGGAATAAGTGCCAAATTACCAAACCACTGTTTTGTATTGCTGACAACACTGACTATTAAACAGTGCATATGAAATTACGTCTTCCAATGGCAAACACCAAGTATTGAAAACTCCACTGATTAAGGACCTATTTAAGCGCTTATAGTGTTGGGACTTGTTTCCATACATTACGTTGGTTATAATACGTAAGGGAACAGATTTGAATGACGAATTTGAGCTTTTATTTAGCATACATACAGGACACTTCTTGATGACAGCAATAACATAGGCCTAGGATCAAACTGGGACCTAGATACTGGTTGAAGCGATACGTGGAATTTGGGGCCTTTCTCTCAGGAAAACCGTTACACTCATTCAAAGTTGAACTATTTGGCTGGTGTTTGTTGACAGTCGGCTCAAACTTTCTACTCCGATTGAACTTATATCTGTAATAATTCAGAGAATCAGCCAAAATGAAAACAAGTTTTGTAATAATTATTTACCTTGGAAACAAAAATAAGTTTAGGGACCAGGAAGCGGACATAAGTCGCAGCTTGTCTTCGGTACTCTAGACTCAGCCCCAGAAGATTCACCCGAGTTTGGTCTCAAAACTCAGACCAAACACCAGTCCCCTACTCTACGTGTTTTTTTCAGACCAATGGAGCCAGTGTTTTAATAAGATTAGGCAAAGTCAGTCAGGACGTGAGATAGGTACAGAGAGTACACTAGGCTCAAAGCGGAGTCAAAGCCGTTTTTTTAATTCAAGATTCAAAGTGGCGTTCCGCTTGAGCTGCTTATAGAGAGTCACCGAAGCTCAGAGGCAGAACTAAACTTGACGTTTTAATCCAATTATTCTCATGATTTTATTTATTTTTCCTTAGCTCGGATACAAATATAAGAAAACGGAATCGGAAGAAGTGTGCACCTGTGGTTCAAATAACATCGTCGACTGTGTATTCGATCGTAAGTATAGGCCTAATGTGTCCAGTGTGGTTTCATTTCACTTTTCACGCATTTCCTATATATACAAGATGATTCTGCGATTTTTGTTCTCGGTGGAAACCTGGTCTACGGAATAGTGCAGATTATGTCGCATTTGACACAAAGATTGTGACCAATCAGTGAGCGTCTATACCATTGGTACTTTGGCAGCCGACGGTATTATCCAATCAATATACTCGGTGTCTGTTTTGCTAAATCGCGGAGTTGCATAAAGTTTGCCTTACATCAGAAGTTTGCTTGAAGTGTATTCCGCCACCTAGCACCCCCCCCCCCACATTAAAACAAAATCTCGCTAATAAACCTCCCACGCAACACAAATACTATACTGATTGTGATTTATTTTGATAACTCTTATTTTTTGCTTGTGATTTTGTTATTGGTTCATTTGCTTTTTTGTGCAAATTTTTCATTTGAGCAACAAAATTACTCAAAATCTTAAGAAGGGTGCACAACATTTAGCCAACTTGATGAAGTTGTAGCTCAGTGGATACTGTACATTTTGAGAAAACGGAGAAAACGTATGCATGGGTTCCGTTCCTTTAAACGTACGTTCTTTTCTTTTCTTTAAACGTACTTTAAAAAAATGTGCCCGCGGGCACATTTTCTTAAACCACTTTCAATGATTGTATTCCTCCGAGTGATACCATTTCAGTTGGAATGGTTTGACTTTTTATGGTACCGGTCCTATCACTCTGAGCAAGGATTTCTGTGTCATTGCAAACGTCCATACGTGCCTTTAATTTTCAAAATTCGATTCGTTCAAGATTCCCGGCGATCCTTCTCCATGATTCTTGACAGTTCTTATCCCCCTTGTTGTTTCTCCTCAGCTAAGCCACAGTGTCCGGTGGTGAACGGCTGCGGATGGGGCTGCCAGGTGATCCCAGGCCGCAGTGGTTGTGAGATATGCGTATGCACTTAATCACGTCCAGGCGTGCTTTTGCTGTAACCAAGAATAGTTATTGTCTATACAATAGTTAGACTAAATAGTTGGTTGTAGGAGAAAAATATTTGTTCGTTCGTAATTCAACACGCTGTCCAATGAGCGCTGGTGACGGCCAATCTCCCTCACAAAGTATCGTCAAGGAAACGCAAAGCATTGTGGGTGGCTCGCCAGCATGATCAGTATGCACCTGGACGTTAATTCGTGCGCACGTGTCTTACGCACAAATTGTCTTGACTCCGGGTCAACTAAATATAACCGTCACCAGCATCCTTGGATTGGTGTTTTTCTTTAAATGGCAAAAATCTCGATTATATAAGTTCAGAATTAACCGAGACGTCTATTTCTGAGGATGTCAGTCCTACAGTACCTTACTTCAAATCTTCCGATCCCTGCGGTGTGCAACTCTTGACACGCCCCCAGAGGTTGTGGCTCGCTCACTTGATAATCTGGAGATGTGCTGAAAGCGATAAAAAGGTGGGTGAGTATTATGGTGATCATAATGGCAGATAGTTTTTTTTCTCGCTTCAGTGCACCAACAACTACATGACTGGTTCGTTAACCACTCACAAACAATAAAGTCTAAACGTTCAGTATATTTCTATAAATGATGACATAAAGAAAAAGCTTTTTCTTCCCGTGCCTATATAGTGCCTAGAATTTAAACCGCGACATTCTTTTCATAACATGAATTAACACTTCCGTGGCTTTCTTTACAATATAAAATATTATGCCGCTGAAAAAAACAGCCTTCTACATTTTAGAAAACCTCCCTTTTATTTATCGACAACAATAACCTTTTGAGATGAGAACATGGCAAAGGGGATAACAACCCTTTGTGACTGGAAACAGCGCCCTCCCGGAGATCTTGGTTTCACCGGAATCGTCTAATTTGACATTTTGTCTCTGTATTAAATTTTTATGAAACACGGTCTTTACTATGGGATTTTAAACTATTTCTAGATGAGGTGTTTGACATAATGTGCGACAAACTTTGTCAAATTCCTTTTACGGATTTGCACAATCTGTTTATTTTTCCACAATATGAGTCATTAATTTTAGCAAAGATTTAAGTGAATAACTAGAAAACTACGGGTTTATTTGGTATAAATTAGTAGATATTGCGATATTTTGACTTTACTAGAAGCTGAAATAATATTCAAGATAATTAATGTAGATGTTATATAATAATTATATGTTAAAGTTGCGTTTCCCATGCTTTTCAACAAAGTCGATCTTTAAAAAAAAAAAAATTCTTTTGTGAACATCTAGCCTATACGACATATGAAAAAGAAAAACAACATGTTTTGGGCACAGACATAATCTGATTTGTGAGCAGACTGGCTCCCGGTCCGTACATCACCAGTACAGTTTGTGGGGCGGGTACCAGCCTATATTTTGCGAGAACGGAATTATAGCCGGGCCGCAATAATTCAATAACTAAACACGCACGATTTCTCGGTCTTTGTCTCATTCAAAAGTGACTAATTTATGAATTGCTTGAAAAATAGCGATTTGTGAAAGCAGTACCTGTATTTTTCCGGGATGAAAGTCGAGACTAGCGCCCGCAACTGCTATGATAAAGCCTTTGAATCATTAGAGTTTATCGGTGAATTATTTTTTCCTTGATACATGCTTGCGGTTTACAAGTTAGCCTTTATAATGTATTTTGGGGAAATCTCGAAAAAGGACTAGTTAAAAAAGAAAGATTTCAAAAATTTGTAGACAAGCAGAAGAAATACACCCTGAAGAACAAGTGTCCGAAAATTCGGAAAAGCTAATATAACTGGTGAGCACTACTTTAATTTATATTTCCATTCAGAGGAAAATAGTAGCTGTTTTGGCGGTAGCGAGCGCTCAGTATCGTGGCATACATTCCCTTTTTCCGATGTTAATGAATAAATCTTTGTTTCGTTGAATTCCGTATAAATAAAGTCGTAGTCATTATTGTAGATATTCTCACCACAACCCATGATAAAGATGAAGAAAACAATGGGCTTTCCTCAATTAACCTTAAGGTCTGTACTTAATTAATTACGAAGTGGATGTGCAGTGGCGTGGGATGTAGAGGACGCCCTCTCGCGTGAAGTTATGCCGTCAACATCACAGACGATAACGTTAGGTCGCGTCCGACTCCCATGTCTAGATCTGTTAACAGTAGAACTTCACTGTTACCTACTAACATAGACATTGTGCAAAAAGAATAGTTCATAATCATCATACAATAGGCCCTGTACAAAATGATTTCAATTGAAATCCGCTTTTGGACCTTTTCATCCTTTATTGTCTCAAGTTACACCCACTTCTAATGAATTATTTCTAAAGAAAAAAATCGCTACAACCCCTCAGTAGATTTATGTTGTAAACTAAAACGACATTAGCGTACAGCTGATGCTCCAAAATGTCCCATTTGGCCCTAGATTATTGTACCCGTGTCGTTGAGCAGTAAAGAAACACGGCCTGCATGCGGAGTGAAAAAAAATGTGTCGCAATTATCTCGGGAAACCGACGGCCTTGTTGATGCAACATCGAGAGCAAGAAATATTGTTGATGCAGAACACGCGACCTGAATTCTCAATCCACGGGAGGAATAAGCAGAAGGGGAAACTTGGTGAAGATGAAGGGGCGATGGTTGATGGAGCTAGTAAGCCAGTCAGTTGATGATCATGATCACTGAGTGTCGGGGTTAACTCACCCGTCTGCCAGGCACAGATTTCTCGGTACTGGCGCGGTCTATCTCCCCCTCTCTCCCCAGCCCGCGTCTAATGGCGTGAATTAGACAGTTGCCATTAAGGGTATTTTCAGAAATTGCGCTGATCGATGGCGGTGTTGATTCAGCTTGGGCCAAGAGATTATAGATAATTGAATAGCAATAATGTAACTGGGTCCGCTTGTCCTGGCATGGTTGGGAGAGAGATCTCTCGGTTTTTTTTTATTTTAGATAGAATAGGGTTTGATGAGTTCGTTTTACTCCACGGCTGGTTTTTTTGACATCACCCTGTAGATCTTTTATGATGCGCGGTGCTTGTGGCCAAATCCAGCCAAAGTTTGTGAGGTGAAGTGTTGCAACACGCATGCCTACTCCGCTCCCCCAGAACACCGGGCGTCGGGGAACGTGACTATGTATCGACATTGCACCACGCTGAGTACCTTCCTGCCCGCCGGACTGAAGCGGGGAAAACAGCCCGCCCACGGGCATGTAGACGCGCTAAAAGCACTTTCAGCTTCCGATTTTGCAGTTCTTTTGAGGAATAACTGAACCAGTTGTGGGGTCTTTATTTATGGGGGCAATGCATTTTGGAAAGGATTTTCCCCAGAGCATATGGATGATAATGTTGTTGATACATTAGTGTTAATGGATCTTGGTTGGGGGTTCAAAAAGGTGGGCGGAGTCAACAAAATGAGGAGGGTGAGCGGAAGTCGATGGTAACATATAATTATGCTCGTTCTTAACTGGTTATACAAGTTTATTACTCAGCCTTTGCTATTTTCTGCATTATTTACCTATTTGTGCGGCCCAAGGGGAATTTACGCCCTATAACCCCCTGCCAGTATAGCTCCGCCACTGCCCCCTTAGTTACGTCAGTGCTTTAAACAATATGTTTCAGATTTCTGAAATGTTAAATTGAAATAAAACTCACAGATGTAAACAAAAAATTATGAGGTGGGGTCTGGTGTTCTTAGTAATTCATAAAGGTGCGTGAATGCAGGAAAGCATGTAAAATAGAAAAATATTTAACAGGAGCAACTTCTTCGCTCAAAATTAAATATGACATATTATTTACACCAAAATGCAACATTTTCTCCTGTTGAAAAAAAATCAGGCGAGATTCTGCATTCTATTTGCTCAATTTGGATCAAGTAATATCATTTTATTATCATCATCGGTAGTCCCTCCATTGTGCATAATTCCATTGATGAGGACAGCTCCCCCTCCCTCCGTTAGCCTTATTCAATTAGGGGGAGAAATTTTCACCGGCCGAGGAATTAAGACGAAGGGTGATCGAACATCCCTGAGTTTAAACAGACGGGCTCCGATCTTAAGTGCTTAATTCAGGAGAAACAGCTATCTAAATAGCGGAATTGTATTATAAGCCCGATGGCAGTATATAGCCAACTTTATTACATATCTCGCCAGTTTTTTTTCATGCAAGCCAAGTTACTCTCTTGCTTGTCATAATTACACAGTCTAATGCCCAGTAGTGTGCACATTTAACCCTCTTAATCACATCAGTAAATGTCACATGGGAACCCCTAATGCTGTAATTAATGACTGGTCGTAGTCAGGGCGAAAGCCACCTCGTTCAATAACTACTTACATCACTACCCCCTGTCTCTGCAACTTGAATTAAGCTGAGACGGGAAACACGGAAAATAAAGTAAATTACAAAGCAATATCATAAACAAATGTTCCACTTCAGCGAAGCCAAGCTTTAAATAGTGCCCTGTTGATACCGAAAGACCAAATAACGAAAATCTCTTCACCTCACTAGTGGCAATTTATTTTTTTTATATCAATTTTCCCCTCGTCTCTTAATTCTCTCGGCGGCGGCCGAAGCAAATGTCATCAAACTTCAAGTGCGGTTAAAATTCCCCCCGCGAATCAATAATGAAATATACGCCACTCGAGAACAACTCTCCATTAGCTTACCCCTTTGCTTCGGAAGAGGCGAAAGGGCCGTGCTTAGAGAGCGACAATATTGAATCAGGTGGAGCTCGCGTGTGGACACAATCTTCCGAGCTTCGTTTCTTGACGTTTCGATTTTAATCTCCACTGGGCCGCCTGCACTCCAACCAGCGCGCTGCATGCAACTATATAGCTCGGGCTGGATGGCCAAGGCGCGGGCGGGGTGAGGTGGGAATGTGACCATCTTCTCTGTACAAAAAAAGATGAAAGATTGGAGGTGTTGGTGGGTACGGGAAAGGGGGGGGGGGGTTGTGAGAGAGGAACACATCATAATGCTCGCCCCAGTGTCATCACTGCACACATTGGCCTGTGTGTATACTTGATGCAGTGTTTGCCGTGGCTGAATCGTTGGCTCTGGCCTTGGTACGCTACAATTGTGACAGTTCCAGTTTAAACATTAAGCTACATCCCCAAAGAGATACGGCTAATTGATCGTATCGGTTTCACTGCGAAGTTGTCATCCGCACATGTCTAGATGCACTCTTATTAGAGCTTGGATAAGAAGGGTTGTTTTGGAGACTACTTATTCTTACAGATGTAAAATTCTCCTTCTTGAGAGCTTATAAGGCCTTTGCATTTTGATAGGTTTGACTGTCTTATGGAGAAGCATTCAATATTCCATTCGTTACGTATTCTCGGATCAATCATCTATCATCTTATCAATATATCAATATATATGATCCATATTACTATTTGTTTTCACGCAGAAAAATGTAAGGTGAATGGACATAATATGAGGAGTTGTGCATTAAATATGCACAATCTGACTAAAACAATCACACGGCCTATACATTATGCATCATTAATGTGGGATGCTTATCGCAAATTAAAATTTGAAAGATGCATGTATCACCCACTGTCGGTTCATACTGTAACTGTCTCGTTGCATGATAAGGCAAACGTGGGCATTCTCCTTCCAGGTTAAGGATATCACCACAATTACAAGATACTTTGTTGGCTGGCCTGTTAAGGAAATATTAATTAACCACTAAAGATATTACTAAAAGGACCAGCCCACCAATGCCTGAGGCCAGCCACTATCGCTAGCTGTGGCTGTGTTCTAGATTTAAAGGCATCTCTAGGGTACGTTTCTGGTCATGCAAATGAAGACCCATCGATAATTACTCCGACTATAGCCCTGCAACACTGCGCGTTCCATGGTGGCTTTTTACGCACGCACAGAAAGCGCCTCAGCCAACGGTGAAAACGGAGTTGTTAAAATGTAACCGCGTGCATGTCCGGGGTCCGACGGAGCGGAGAGAACGAAAATGGGAAAGGGGTTGTAAGGGGCCCCGGGATAGAGTCGCATACCAACCAGCCGGTCCGATTAACTTCATTAAAATCCAATCATTTTTTATCTGCAATGGCGTCAAATTTATTGTAGTCAGCGGGCTGGCTGGGGGCATGTAGCACGTCAGTGTTTGATTACATACAAGAATGATTAGTTCACCGACACTCTATTTGGTGCTTTGTTGCCGGGGCTAGAGAGTTAAGATTACGGGGCAGCGGAGCCCCAGCTCCGGTCCCCCCTTAAGTTCCCGCGGTAGCCCGTTGTTTTAAAAGACGTACACCGGCGGGGGGTGCTGCCGGCACAATTTACTTAGAAAGAGGGGGGTTGCCCATGGGTCCAGGTGGGACCGTCTTTAGTGATTTGGGACGCTGTAAGTTGGTGGAACGACCGAGGGATAATGATGATGTCATGTTTTAGTGTTTCCATTAAAAACTACTGAGAAAATCGTGAGTTATGGAACATGAGATAAAGTAAACGCCGCCATCAGGTGAAAACGGAGACGGGTAGAATTTTGTTTGTAATTACAGGCGGCTTGGATTTTTTCTATCAATCTCGCTGGCTGATGACCCCTATTTTCTTTTAATTATTTTGGACAAATGGTACAAGAGTGTATGCATTTGCATCTGAAATTGGTTTCCGGAGTTCCAAAAAGGAGTAACGTTGCCGTATTAATTCCATACGTTGCTGTTGAGTACAGCTGTAACTTAATGCAAACAAAATATTAAACTCAAAAGAAATTGTTGGTTGGTAGTTAGTAAGTTGTTGTTATTGATTTAATTGTTGTTGTTGTTGTTGTTGTTGTTTGTTGTTGTTATATTGTTGTTGTTTCACGATCGTTTAAAGAAGGAAGAAAGTTTGGTGTTTCTTTGTATTTGCGTTTTTTCGTAGTGTTAGTTTGTATTTTGCGTGGTACTATTCAACATTTCAATTGACACTA